GGCTTTCATTTAATAAAATTTAAAAAAAAAACATTAAAAATTATGTCATTTGACTTTGTTTCAGTTTTTTTATCTCACCCTCTATATTCTTGATCAGCATAAAATTCTTTGTCGATTAAGCGTGTCCGTCCGTCTGTGAAAATCGCTCTAGCTTCCAAATGAAACGATATAGGTAGATAAAATTTTACTCTGACTTGTGTTTGTTCTGCAGAACCTTTGGTATTGAAAATGGACTATGTAGGACCACGTTTTGGTATAGCCCCCAAGTAACTGTACCGACAGATTTTAGATTAAGATTTTTTGTTTTTGGCTGCTTAAGTCACAATTTGATCCAAATTTGCTGTAAATTGGCAGAATATGTTAACATTATGTTATAAACATCCTTGCATAGAACTGTCAATGTAAGTCTTAGTTTACATGTAATCCCCATACAAAAGTACCCCCAAATATTAGGTATTTGGATGATGCATGTCAAACTTTTCACTGGAAATTCGCAATTTGAAATGCCTAATGGGTACTACATTCCATGACAGAAAGTTGCTCATATAGGTCCACGTCTTCGTATTAGCTCCCATAAAATGCATATGCTGGACCAAGCCTTTGAATAGTTCCCATACAAATGCACACCCAGATATTCGGTACATGATTTTAGCAACATTATTCACCGAAATTGTTTCAAGTTTCGTATTTGATAATCGTTACGGCTTATGACGAAAAATACATTTACATGTCCTCGTCTTCGTATAGACCCAATATAACGCTAGCTCCCTATATTCGATTTTAGCAGTATTTTTCAACGAATGGATGGTTTGTGAGTGAATTGGCCAATAAAGATGGTTGCAATTTTTAGAGCAAATAGGGCACAAATTTCCATCAAACCTGCTCCAATTTCACAATTCGGGTTCTTTATGGATGGTTCCTCACTCAAATCCCCCTTAACTTTTGTGTTTATATCTTCTCATTCTAGTGTTCGTTTTCCTTCAATCACTAGTTGAATAGCTATGGGGACAGTAAACAACCCTAACTTACTTCATTAAAAAAAGAAAAAAAAAACAATTTCCTTAGTTTTTTCCATATTGGAGTGCTTTATAAATTGCAAAACATTCACATTTCTGGGACATATTCTTTAAATTAAAAGTGCGAATAAAAATGCTGTATAAACATAAGAGTCAATGACAAACAAACACACACGCGCACATATATCAATGAAATAAGACAATCCGTGGCCTTCAGCACAAAAACAAAACGAATACAATGACATATTTAGAACGGCACAGGTGAACAGGAAGAAAAGTGTACGCGGTATTGAGTCAGCATTTAAATGTAAATTTCCATTTTGAAGTCCGATGGAACGGCATAAGTCATGTCAATGCCAGATATACGGAAAATTGCATTGCGCCCTGACCACTTGACGAGACCACATCGTGCTGTCGTACAGAGAAAGTGCACGGCTGTTATAACCTGGGCGACATTTGAGTTGTTGTTTTTTCATTGCACTTCATTTTAAAATCTCGAATGGATATTCATGAAAAATCCATTGGCAGTCTCTCAAAAAAAAAAAAAAGATCTAAAACGTTCATCCGATGGCAGTACGGCATTGTTTCTTTTCATTATTGGGCTCACAATCCCATTCAAGCGGGTAGCCTTCATATCGTTCGCAGCATAAATCAATCAACGAACTGCGGCCTGCCAAGAAGTGGAAGCAAATCATGCTCAGAACAAAAACCACCAAGCTAATAACACTAGGTACTAAAGTAATTTAATAGTACTAAACATTAGACATGAAGTGCATGAATGGTAGAAACGAGTAGCCAAGTTTATAGTTTTAGACAAATGTGGTTTAAGTAAGCGTTAAGTAGGGTCAGCAAATTCTGTTGGGAGCGATGGTCAAAAGAAACAAGTAAAAAAAAAGTAAGTTCGGCCGGGCCGAACTTTTAATACCCTCCACCATTTGGTACGAATTTGATAATTTTCAAAAAAAAAATTAAAATTAAATCCGTTAAAAATTCTGTTAAAATCGTAAAAACACCGAATGCCTATACGACGACGTGGACCTGCATAGGCAACTTTTGTCATAAGTTATTACAATATTTAAATGCGAAACTTGAAGAAAAATCTGTTTATAAAGTAGCTAAAATCATCAAAACACCGAATATAGGGGGTACCGTTATATGGGGGTTATACGAAGACGTGGACCTGCACAGACAATTTTCTGCCATGGACTGAAGTATCCATTACGAACTTCACATGCGAAATTTGAAACAATCCCGGTAAATAATGTCGCTAAAATCATCAGAATACCGAATATCGGGGGGTACCGTTATATAGGGGCTATACGAAGACGTGGACCTACACAGATTATTTTCTGTTTTAGGCTGTAGTATCCATTACGAACTTCAAATGCCAAATTTGAAACAATTCCGGTGAATAATGTCGCTAAAATCATCAAAATACCGAATATCGGGAGGTACCGTTATATGGGGGCTATATGATAACTTGGACCTACATGGCCCATTTACGAACTTAACCTGCCTACTTAGCCTTATATCTCAATTTGTTCGAAAGATAGCGTGATTACAACAGACAGACAGACGGACATGGCTAAATCGTCTTAGAATTTTACGCTGATCAAGAATATATATACTTTGTTGTGTCTGACATGAGTATTTCGAGGAGTTACAAACGGAATGACAAAATTAATATACCCTCCATAGTATGGTGGGGGGTATAAAAAAAACGGACATACTAAGCTAAATGCATTGCCGTTGTTAGGCAAGTTCCACGAGTACAGTTATGCATAATTTACAAAAAATAATTACTGCGAAAATAGATTTCTATTTCGATTGCTGCAAAAATTAAGAAATCATTATTAAGAAATACTTCAGATAACATCGATACCTCAGGAAACATATGAGTAAATAAATTATCATTGATTCTTTCGATCATGGATCGAACACACAAGCAAGTGGATAAAGAAAACTTAAAAATGTCGATTTGTTGTCTTAAGAAGCATACTTAAAGTCTTTAATATAGTGTTCAACACTCTCTGCTTGTGATAGCGATTCCATTTCCATTTCAGGAAAACTGATACAAAGAGATACGTCGTCTTAAAACTGAGCTGCACTAACACTACAAAGATATATTAAGATCGATCGTTCAGGGTGACAATAGACAAAATTACCACGCCAAGGAATATTATCCCCAAGACTTTGAGGTCCATTTTGTTGCACACATGGTACAATGAAATCAAGGTAGGACACAGGAACTAATCGGTATAAAGATCTATCTAAAAAGATCCTCCAAAAGTGTATCAAATATGCCAATATATCTTGCAGTTCCAAAGATATTAGCGATTCAAATCACGAAATCATGATTATGTCCGGGCATCGTGGTGTATTGCCCACAAAAGTAGAACATTTTGATCATTATTTATTCGCAAAAATTGGAAACAAATCTTCGATTTCTTTAAATTTCGCACATAGAAATATGTTTATCTGCATTAGATGAAGTTGAAAACTTCGATCCGCTGTATTTGCTTCCTCGCATATATTTCAACTTTTATAAAAGTGATCATATATCTCATAAAATGTAAAGGAAATAATCGATATGGTCCAAATCTGGCAGGTTGTAATATTTATATCAGACCTAGGTCAGGTACAAAATGGACAATATTGAATAATCATAACGCAAGGCTGAGGATTTACATCTGAATATCTGGCAAAATACCCCAGACACTATAGTCCTACGGATTGGTATCTAAAGATTTTGGTGGCCATTGTGCGCTGGAAATGAAGCGAGGAACCTCTTTTTGTAACCATTCTAGGGTGGCGGCAGTTCACCCCTTTCGGCCAAAAATGGCTCGTGAGCTGAGCATATCTCAATATTTCATTCGGCAAGCCATTGAAACTCCAAAAAGAGCTTAAAAATTGCTTCGCTCTTTTTGGAGTTTCAATGGATTGCCGAATGGTATATTGCGATATGCTCAGCCATTTTTCAGCCACCGTGACGCAGGTTTCGATCAAGTCGCTTCTTTACTTTTCGAACCATTTCTGCTGATGTTGCTATTTTCTTCCGTCAACTTCCTTGACGTCGGGCTACGCTACCAGTATCACGGTAACGAGCGATGGTATGAGTCACAAAAGATTTATTCACATTTAAAAGCTGGAGTGCTCTAAGGATAGCCACTGGTGGTTTTCCAGCCAAATATAAAGAAATCACAATATCACGCTTGATTTCGATCACGAATAACTTTTTTTCTGGAAAATTCTCACCAAAATGCTTTTGTACGCTTCTAAACAATATATTGAACTGTCACTGAAATAATTTTAACAGCTGCCGGGCGAGTGGCTTAGAAATGACAGCAGTCTAAAGTTGGTTGCAATTTTTTCATCTCACCCTGTATATTATTTTCAATTATATGAAATTTTATTTAATTTGACGAAATAAAACTTCAGAGGTATGTATAGAGAATATGAGTTTGAAAAGAAATCATGAAAGTTCATCCTGTTTTTTTTTGGTTTTTTTGTTTATTTGATACAAAACAACTTTTTGTATTTGTTTTGCTAGTAATACTGGCATTACAGTACATACAGGCAGGTCTCGCTACTTTCAACTTTTTCCAACTTGCCTTCCTTGTACCATAAAATACCATTATTTATTAACCCTAACAATCGAAAATTTGAGATCAATCCAATAATTTTATCGACAGTCCTAATATACTTTGATCCCCTGTATGAACAATCGTTTTATAGTTTATGAGCACATCTTATCAGGAGGAACTTGATTTTTCGGAAAATCATTTTTGGGGGTGCCGAAGCAAACAACGAAGGGATTTCCGAACCACAATTCAGCTGTGAATTACGTGACAGACACTATATGTACTTTCACAACAGTCAAAATTTAAAATCTTACTGACCACTGCATCCAAAATAGAACTCATCTTACTTGGAACTCATTAGCTAATTACATCCCTTGTGTGTTTTTTTTTTTCTCAATTGCAGCCCACTTGCAGTGGCGGTTATATTAAACGGCGACCAACCCGAGTTCACTGACGCCTTAGGCCAAAAAGTACCCAAGCCTCAACCATCTCTACAGGTTGCAAGTCCCATAGATCTATTGAACCCGGATCGCTATGAATTCTACACTTTCGATGAAAACGGCGAACTTGTCAAACGCCTCATGACCATGGAAGAAATTCAAAGCATTGTTGCCAATGGTGACGGCGAAGGTCCAACTATTATCCATCATGGGCCAGTGGAGGATAAGGATCCCGAGAAAAATGTCCAAGATATTGTGAACAGTGTGCAAGATGTTCTTAACAAGGAAGTGGAGTCGAACAAAAATACAACCTCAGACATTCTACCAGTTTTAGACACTCCGGATGTCTCCTCTTCGTGGTCAATGATTCTTCCGGCCATATTTGGAAATACCGGCAGCGTAGACATATTCCCGCAACAAAAACCACAACAAATAGTCATGACTCCAGATAGTGAAATTTTGGAAAATTCATCTGAAGCCCCTGTAACGACAACAACTCCACATCCGAAGCCCAGTAAACGCAAGCCAGGACACAAACGCAAGACGAGCACAACTACAACCACGACTACGGAAATGACCCCCCAGGTTATCCAAGAGGAACTCGATTCGCATGAGTCTGTGTACACCGGCATGCAGCAGTATCAGCACTTGCAAGCTTCCATGCAAAACTACGGAGAATTTTCGCAAATTCACATGCAGCCCATATACCACAAGTTGCCAGAACAGTTGCAGATTGAAACTACGACAAAGCGCGTTTTCATTAACAACCAAGAAGTTGTTCAGACACCAACAGCTGCGGCAACTGAGACAATTTTGGATGAAAATTTGGCCAAGAAGCCACCACACATCCAGCGCAAACCTTCACCTCCACACCGCGTTAAGAAGCCCAATGGGGGCCAAACAACAACGAAGCGTCCACAAGGTACAAAACAGAAGACAAAGAAGAAGCCCTCCACTACAACTACAACGACAACATCCACAACAGTTGCTCCAGAAACCTCAACCATGGCGGAGACCATGCCACCAACACAGCAGTCCACCACTACCTCTACGACGACTGAAACTCCTACAACCACAATTACAACAACCGCCCCAACTACAACAACTACCATGGAAATTCCAACAAGTACCGCAACTTCTACAACAACTACAACTACTACTGAAAGTGAACCTGTTCAAACAACAGCTGCACCTATCACTCCTGTCACCAGCACCACTTCTGCCCCCAAGAAGAAGAAGAAGAAGCCCACACGGAAACCCATTCATCACCCCACAATTTCGGAAGGTACCTCTACAACAACTCCGTTGCCATCTACGACGGAGAGTACCACGGTACCCATTGAAACCGAGCCTGTGACTACAACTACATCTACTCCTGAAATTCAACCTCCAACGCAGACTTCTACTACAGCTCCAAAGAAGAAAAAGAAGAAGCCCACACGACAACCCATTCACAGCACCGTTTCTACAGAATCCGACGATTTGCGCAAACCACATCCGCACAGGCCTAAGCCGTCTCATTCTTCACACACGACGGGTGACTTAGCTGCCGAAGGAACCGCCCACCAAGAAATTGCCCACAACAAATACCAGCATGTGTCCCACCACAGGCCACGTCCCAAGCCACAAAAACACACTACAACGCAGAAGCCCACATCTACGAATACACCTACCAGTACCACCGTTGTATATGCTCCAGTCCCCGAAGCAACTGCTGCAACGTCACAGCAGCCAACATTGATTGTGGAGGAATTCCCTGGATATCAACCTTCGAGAATCGACACCCCAACTACAGTTGTCGCCGTAGCAACCAAACCGTCTACAACAACACCGGCCACACCAACCAGCTCGGGTACTTCGGGCTATCCCATACCTTCTTACGGTTTGACTATTGATGCTTTGGAAGAATCGGACGAATATACTTTGAAAAAGGAACCAGAAACACCAATGCCCATTATGCAACAAATTGAAACAAAACCCTACGACCAGGATCTGCATGCAATGCAGTCCTTCGATCAAATATTGCAGTCACTGAAGCAGCCCGAATTGGAACAGAAGGTGGAATCGACACAAACGCCAACTAAGGCTCCAATAAATCCGGTGAAATATGACAGCGCTGAAAACATGGATCAGTTGGAAGAGATGGCCAACAAACACATGCTGCCGGTTGTCAATCTTCCCAATCTATCCAATTATGGAACCAATAGCGATCAGCAGGAGAGCACGCAAAACGAACCTGCAACTGATGCATTGGATGAAATCGATACAGACGTGTCGACACCACTAATTATCCTTGGAGAGGAGGAAACTACGGAAACAACACCATCAGCTGTACTCAGCTCGAAATCTGATATGACCACTACGGATCGTTATGAAGACACCACGCTGCAGTACACATCTGAAGAGGGAGGAACCAATGCCGAATTTCAAATCACCACCGAGACTCCTGATTCACTTTCCGATACAACTGATTGGGAGCTTAACCACCGCACGACGGAAACTAGTGGAGATGCAGCCGCAACAACAGAGATTCCTGAACAACTATTCGACGAGGACACTAAAGACACCACCGGAACTACCGGATACCCAATCGAGGGGGAAACAACGGTTGTCCAAAATGAAGGCTTGGAAACAACTTCATCGGAAGCTGCCATAACTCAACCGCAATTAATCTATGGCGAAACCACAGCCAGTTCTGAGGAAACCCCGGATGAATCAACGTCCATGGGACAGACCAGACTTCCAGTTGCTGCACCTTCAAAGCATACCGAAACCATGCAGGACGACGACAAGACCGATGAAAATCAAACTATCCTGGTGGCCGATCTTAAGCCTCACCTGAACATAGAAGTAATAAAGCCCTCATCCCAAATAAGCATGTCCGATTTCCAAACGCAAGCTGCTACCGTGGCTTCAACCCTCGTAGACGGCACCAATACCATGGCGGTCGATTACAGCATGATGAATTCCAATGAGACCAAGGATGAAATCGCCTTCCTTATGTCCGACGTTATCAAACAGATGTCGAACAATGCGAACAGCAACGACAGACCGGCCTTCCATGGCGTGGACCATCACTACACCACAACGCACCAGAGTGTACCAATACCCATGCATCAGAATTACGGAAATGATAATATCCAATCTAACGGTGGTCATGGACTCTCCATTCCCGATCAGGTCGATCGTTACACAAATATTGCCAAACTGAACACGTCATTCCTGATGCCCGACAAATCGGAGATGCCACCTATGCAGCCTAGTTTGTTCGACACCTATGGCCACGATGAAATCAGCACAGATGATTTGGACGAGAGCTATGAAAAAATGGAGAATAACTATGCCACCACTTCACTGATTGCCAATTCCAAGCTGGATAAAGACGATAGCTCTTCCACTGTCAAAATTGAAGAGGAGGCGTCAACATTGACTGTCGAGACAGACAAAGAGGAGGAAGAAGACACAACTGAGGTTCATATCGAGTACACAACCCCCCTAACAGATAAGAGTGATTCAGACGAATTGTCCTCCGACAAGGAACAATCTTCAACAATTTTCAGTCCAAGCCAAGAAGAACCGCACGAAGACATAACCGTTAATCAAATGACGAATGACGAATCCACCGACTCTTCACCAAATGCCGAGGTCATGACAAGTTCTGATAAAATTTCAGAGACAGACAACACATCGTCCGTGGCGTCCGAAGAAGATGCTTCTACAACTCCCATAACGTTGACTGAAAGCAGCGAGTCTAACGGAGAAGCTCAGCTACCATCTCTGCCTCAAATATATGGTCAACAGCAGAAACTAGAGGATACTAGCGACAGAGAGGCTCTCTTCGAAGCTGATAGCTCCAGCGACACAACGACTCAAATCGCCAATATATCTGAAGAAACTACGGAAACCTCGTGGCAGAGGGACAGCGATGAAAATAAAACTGCAGAAGATGAAGAATCAACGACGCACTCCACAGCAAATGATGAATACATGAGCGAACCTAACGTGGACGGAAGCAACGACCAAGTCACAGTGGCAGATTCGTCAAGCGATAAAGAAAGTTCCGACGATCAATTCGAAGCCACAACACAACTTACTGAGAGTAGTGAAGAGGAAATGACAGAAGTGGAATCGTCTACCATTAAAGTGGAATCTGCCGAGGGGGAGGATGAAAAGACAACGCTTCCCGAGAACACCACAAATACTCCACAAATGCTTGACGAGTCAGAGTCAAACTCTTCAACGACACTGGAAGATAAACAAGACTCCAACGATGAAATTACAGAAACCTTGGCAGAAACTACAACTGACAACGTTGACCCCATTAGTTCTGATGAAAACTCAAAGCAATCGTCAGCCATGGAGAGCGATGAAGTCACTGCCCAGGAACATACCACACAGTACCCCTTACCAGCTGATTTGCGTGTGGATACAATAACCACTGAGATCAGCCAAGAATCAATGACAAATGAAGAACCTATGGAAACTACCACTCTCAACTACGCCATGAGCGAAGAAACATCCGAAGAACTGAATGCAATGATTTCCGAGGAAGATGAAACCGATGAGTTGACCGATGAAGATCCATATATTAAGTTGGGAGAAACAACAACATCGAAGCCCGATGAATCAGCGACTCTGAAGTCAGAAATCTCCAATCAAATGGAATCCGCACATGACGAGTTGCAATCGAACGAATCACAATCGGTGGTCAGTGTTCAACCCGAAGTATCTGAATCAACTTCTGAAGAGTTCACAAAACCTACAGCTGAGAGCAACGAGAGCGGCGCTGCCAAGCAGCCACAGCCCGGCGACTCAAGTCCTGAAGAAACGCCCATGTTGTCGCCACCAAAGCCCATCAACTCAATAATCCAAAATGATGTACCCACAGTCGGTGTGGACCCCGCATCACACAATGACAACGATGAACAAATATTTGAGGGATCTGATGAGGAGGATGAGGATGATCAAACAGGATATCAACCGCCTAAATTGCCAACAATTAGTACCACCACCACAAGCACTCCCAGCCCTCCTACCACAGTTAGTACAACTACAACACCAAAGCCGACTGTGTCCACCACAAGACGTCTGAATACCCTTAAACCAGTTTCCTATTTCAACAAACAACCCGCATACGCCTTGTATCAGGACCCTGTCGAACCTCTGTACAACAAACAACCATCGCCGGCCCAAGCTCCACAGTCTCAACTTCAAACCCAGGAAAAGGTTGGAAACAAAGTCATTACCTACAATGCTGTTACGCCTCAACAACGTCCCATGCAAAGACCCCCCCAACTCAGCAATTTAATGATAGCATCTTCTCAAGCCACCCGTCCCCCTGTTAAAATGGAGCCCTCGCCCAGTGGCTCCAAAGGTCTTGAAGCTTCTGTCGCGAATCTAGACGAAGACATTCAAGCTTTTGCAAAACTCTGCAACGAATTGGCCTTCAGTTACTGGAAATCGATTACCTCCGAAAAAATAAGTTCCGCTCGAAGTCTGGTGATGTCTCCATTTGCGTTGACGTCCATGCTATCAATGGTATTCTTAGGTGCTCGTGGCAGTACTTCCGGGGAAATGAATGACATCCTTCGGTTGGACGACATGGTGACTTTTAATCCTCACTTGGTGTTCAAAAATATCACGGATTCTGTTGAGAGAGCTATGGACAGCGACATAGCTACGACGGCGTTTGTCCGCGAAGTTTTCAGCGATCGCGCCAATGGCAAAATTTTACAATTCTTCAAAGAGAAAACCCAGCAGCTGTATGCCGGCCATGTAGAGGAAGTCAACTTCCATGTGGTCAATGACATTATTCGCCGGCGAACAAACCTACTGGTAAAGCGCCACACCATGGGCAAGGTTTTGGAATATCTGCGCACAAACAGTGTTTGGGTCAATGGGCCGCTGGCAACAATTTCAGCGAATCTCTTCCAAACCGACTGTTCTCGCGGATCCACACAAGATAGGGATGGCGAACTATTTTTCCAAGTTCATCCCACTGTGCGACAACGCCGTCTTGTGCCTATTCCAGCTGTACTTTTTAAGAGTGGATTTACTGCCGGATATGAACCCAATTTGGATGCTACCGTTGTGGCTTTTGGCCGTATTCAAGATACTGTTAGCATGGTTTATGTAATGCCGGGACAGCAGAGCACAATATCGCCTTCGGATAGCTTAGACCGCCTCGAAAAAGAACTAATGGAAACGGCCATCTCTAAGAACGCCTGGAGCAATTTGCTCACATCGCTAATGGATCGTCCTGGCATGGAAGTTCAACTGCCAAGATTTTCACACAGATCCTTTGTGAATGCCACTCTAGGTTTGCAAAAAATGGGCCTCAAAGGCCTATTCAAGTCGGACTACGCAGACCTGGGCGGTTTGACGGGTTCATCCAATCGTGACATATATCTTTCGGATATGATACAGATAAATACGTTTAGCACCTGCGGAGAGGAGAAAATCGCCGATCACCACCACGTTGAAATGTATCCAGCACCTCCATTGCGCAAGCGCAATAAGGACGTGGAGGCCCATGACGAAGACGACTTTGACTCCTCGGAAGCCATTATTGATTTCGGTTCTCTCGTTCAAGATTCTGCCCTGGGACGCGGTTTCTACGACGACCTTTTGGATCCCAAATATCTAGAATTGCCCTTGCCCCTGAGGCCACGACAGGCTCGAGTTCCAGATGCTCCCAGGATTAGGTTTGACAAGCCGTTCTTGTACTTTGTCCGCCACAATCCCACGGGCATGATCCTCTTTATGGGTCGTTTCAACCCACGACTCTTGCCGTGAGCTCGAATCCCTCGAACTGATAATTAATTCTTCAAATAGATTAATTCGTGTACATTTAAGCTCAACTAACTCGTTTCCTTAACAGGTCCTTTACTTTCAGATTTTTAGCATATTAGTTAATCTACGATTCAGAATGGCGCCGTGAACGAACAACGCCGTCGCTTACAATCGCCGCCGCCGTCGTCTTCGTCGAACTCAGCGCATGAAATTAATATTTATTTAAAATATCGACATACACATACTTACATATCATTATAACTATTATTATTTATAACATCGATATTATTTTATTTTGTTTCGTTTTTTTTTTTTTTTTTAAATACAAATTGCTGTACCTTAATCACGAATCACCATCACCAACGGCCTGTCATTAACGATGAGAATGTCGGGTCGGTGAGGCTGACTAGCTGGAGGCCCTACGTCCACTATTTCGCACGCACAGCGGATTCAAATACGCGCGAATCGGCAGCTGAAATGTGTTGTCACTGCTCACCACGGTTTTGATTCAAGATTGACATACAGCATACAGAAAGCATGATGTATTTATATTGATAAACATATTTACAAACCGTTACAAACATAAATAAATACTTATGTACACTCTGCACACCGGCAAACGGCGTAGGTGTGCGGGTGTGTGTGATTAATAATGGAAATGTTTATTAAATGCATTAAAAAATGTAACATTTTCACATTAATTTATAAATCGATTTCCTTCTTCCTCCTGGCACCCTAGCATCGTCTCATTACCATTTAGCATTTACTTGTATGTACGTGTGTGCCTGTGTAAGTTTGTGTTTGTGTATGAAAGTTGTGTACCTTTTTCGATGCGTTTTTGTTTCAAATTAATTATATTTTTTATACAATTGATGAAACGCACACACACACACACACTCACACACGTACATACAATGATATCTATACATATAAATAAATTCATAAATAAATTGATATTTATACATATATTTGTTAAATAAATTGATATATATAAACATATTAATAAAAATAAATAAAAAAAAAACGTTGTTTTGTTTTCTTTTATTATATCATCTTTAATACTGAGAAAGAGAGCGAGAGAGAGATAGAAAGAGAAAGAGAGGGAGACAACAATGCGGGCATTATTAGTGATATTATCTTCAAAACGAAATAAAATTAAATATCTTAGAAGATCAGCTTCATTTTTTGAAATAGAATATCTTGATAGGAATTAGTTTGACACTCTGACGAAATATTTATCCTACACCGACCACGTGGTATAATTGAACGAGTTGAATCGATCCATCTATCTGTTTTCATCAGTATGTCCATGTTAATTATGTAATTAGTTTTCACTACGCAATTTCGGCTCTATCCAGGGCTGGAGTTAGAATTGAGACCTATAATTTTTGGAGCAAAATATGTAATGGGACACGATTAACGCGAAATTTTACAAGAAGTCAGAAGTTTAGAACTGTTTGTCATTTTTGGCTGTTGATCGGATAATATGTAGCGGGTGGAATGCACCAAAACTTTTGTGTACAAATGCCAAAATTTGCATTCTAAGATGAATATTTTTAATGCTGAAGGGGAATTTCCGCAAATGGAACTGACAGATATGTACATTATTCCAGACATTCTTAAGGGACTTCTGAATATTTAGGAACCTGACAAATGTATGTCAAGAGAACACACGGCCGTGTATCTGCAAATTTGAACAAGTAGTCAAAGGCCATATCGGACGGGGCCAACCATTTGATACCCTACAATACTACAATTTGCTGTAAAGCTTCTGAAGATCTGAAACCGACCAACATACCCATATCTACTACACAATGAAAGCAAATGTTAGACCTTAGTGCTCCTCTTTTCGAGTAATCATCCGAGATTTGGATTTTCCAAAAACATGCGATCTTTAGAAAAGCATCGGTAATTGTGGAAGCAGATGCTCGTAATACGGCAAAACCTAATTCATTCAGAAATTTCACATTAATTTTTTCTCATGCATATTGAACATTTTACTTTCATTTCATTCTTGAAATGCTGTGTTTATTAGTTGAGCACTACAGGGCGACTACAAATCTAGACAATTTTTAGGTTTTTTTGCCCATTTCAAGCCCTAAGTATTTTGTAAACATTTTCCAAAACAATGGGCTTCTATTCTGATCCTAACCCTATTCGTGAAGATCATAATTGCGACCTGTATCGTGATTGCAGATTAACACGAACAGATGGACAGCGAGATCCATATATAGGGTGAGATAAAAAATGCAACAAAGTCAAATGCCATAATTTTTTTTTTTTTTTTTTTTAATTTTATTGAATGAAAGCAAAAAATGTCGGAAATAGCATCAAATTTTAGAATAAGTTTAGATTTGTTCGAATTGGTCACCTTTGGCACGAATTATGGCCTTCAAATTATTTTGACCCAATCCCGGCGAAGCGCTTGCTTGATGTGATCGACACTTTGGTACTTTTTAGTGCCAACCTTGCTTTCCAAAGATTTTGGTGACCATTGTGCGCTGGAAATGAAGCGAGGAACCTCATTTTATAACCATTCTTGGGTGGCGCGTGCTAAGTTCGATGGTGCTGAGTCCCGTTGGAATGTCCAAGGTCTGCGGCCAAAATGTTTGGGTGCCCAAGGCTTTAATATACCCTCAAGAAAGGAAAACTGAACTCCCAATGCAAAATACAGTTGACAATCATAAAAGAATCAATTTGACTTCTTAGAATGTTTTTTGGGAACTCTTAATTTTATAATAAACAACATTTTCCGGAAAATTAACATAGTAAACAATTTATTTTGGTGTTGTTAGTTCCACAGCTTAAATAGCCATTTTTGACAGTTTTATGTGTCATAACTTGCGAAACAAGTCAGAAATCTGAGATGAAAATGGAATTTATGACTTCGCATAAAATTGGAAATGTTCGATTTCTTTGTAATTTCTTCTTTATCTTCTGATGCAAATACTAGGATTAGGAGTAAAATCGGATTATCCTTCTTCTTTCTATGCAGTAAACATTTTTATACCCTCCATCATACATAGTATGGAGGGTATATTAAGTTCGTCATTCCGTTTGTAACTCATCGAAATAATAATTTTAGACCCAATATATATATATATATATATATATATATATATATATATATATATATATATATATATATATATATATATATATATATATATATATATATATTGGGTCTAAAATTATTATTTCGATGAGTTACAAACGGAATGACGAACTTAATATACCCTCCATACTATGTATGATGGAGGGTATAAAAATGTTTACTGCATAGAAAGAAGAAGGATAATCCGATTTTACTCCTAATCCTAGTATTTGCATCAGTTCTAGGTCAGGTGCGAAAATGGACAATATCAGACAAATCCATCAAGTACCTCCCCCACAAAGGATCAACATTTTGAATAGAAATAACTCTTATAAAATGTGATGTAAGTGTCCAATTGTCTTAAAATTACACACTTCACAATATTTTTATTAAGCCAAAGTCTGGTGTGAATATGGATAATATCGGTCCACTCCATCAAGTACTAACCCCACAAAGGGTCAATATTTTGAATAAGCGTGAAGCTCATAAAGCGCGAAATTAACAATCGATTCCATTCAGACTTGATACATCTCAATATAATTCCTTCAAAACAAGATCTGTTATGAAGATGGTAGAGCTCAGATCATTTGTTCTAGTGCCTCCCCATCATAGAGTTCAAGATTTTGAAAAACAAAAGGCTCAAAGAAAACTTTCAACTCATTTTAAACTTCACACATATGTACAAACATTCACGCTAGCACAAGAACTCTTGTGAGGATGATATATATATATCTGCGAACCCCTTCTGGTACCTCACCCACAAAGGGTCACAATTTTCAACAGTTTTATGTGTCATAACTTGCGAAACAAGTCAGAAATCTGAGATGAAAATGGAATTTATGACTTCGCATAAAATTGGAAATGTTCGATTTCTTTGTAATTTCTTCTTTATCTTCATTAGATGAAAAATATGGAATACTTCGGTCGACCATATTTGGCATCACACGCACATTTCAACATTTTCTAAAAATTATCACATGTCTCATGTAAAGTGAAGGAAGTAACCTAATTTAAAGCAAAATGTCAACTTCGAACAAGACCCGCTCAAATCTAAAGTTACACATTTTTACGATCGAGACCCGTTGTATATATGAAGCTATACGGGAACTTGGACATATCACCCGCTTCAAAAAGGCTCTCATCGAAGGAGACGGCATTTGAAAACCGATTGCAAGGTATATAGGTCATCTGACCGGTAATATCGAGAAAAAGAGCCTGCTTTCTTCTATCAATTAATAGCCCTGATATAGAAATTGCAACCGGCATATTGACTAGCATCAGATATCTGACCTCAAGATGGGAACCTTGGTCCTGTAGAATATGAGAGAACGAAGAGGATGTAGAGACGATTGAACACCTACTATGCAGATGTCCCTTGCTATCAAGAAGGGTTTATTGGCTGTTCGGTAGGTGGGAGATAAAAACCCTAATGTTTTTCTCAGACATAGATTCCATCATCATTCATAGGTTTGCTTAGAGCGTACGATAGCAAGGCAAATCTTCCTACAATCCTTTCTTTCTTTACCTCTATATAACTTTTCTATCACCACTTACCCTTTCTAATATGAAGTAGCTGAGTGAAGCAGCTGAAGCTGTTACCTAACATAACCATTTCCACAACATTTCAAAAGCTTACATTGACCCATTCTATTTTTGATAATTCCTTATTTTGACCAAATCATGACCAAATTTGACCAAGCCTTTACAATCTCCCGTGAACAAAAGCTAATTGGTATCGGCTGGGGGTAAGTAGGCCAATGTAAACTTACAGTGAAAGTTTCTGATAGGTGTTGTTATTCATCTTAAGTCATCGGCTGGCTTCTTTGTAAAAGAACAAAGAGCCGTGGGGTTAACAAGTATAAATTATGGGCTGAAATTGAGCTCAGTCAACCTACAGCTCCTTTGTTCTTTTACGAAGATACCAGCCGATGACTTAAGCCTGTCAAAAAAGCTTTTTATGTACTCTCACCTTAATGCTGCAAGCACACATTTTCTATATATCTTCTCAATCAGATCCGATTTCACTTGATACAAAATAGGGGTCAAGGGCCAAAGTTTGCATATTAACACCCCGAAGACAGATTCGCCTTGAGTCGAACTTCCAAGATACAGCGTGACGAGTTCTTTGCTTGTGAATCTAAAGTACATCATAAAATCACCTCAAAAGTTTGTGTGGGCCCTTAAGGTGAGAATACATAAAACGTTTTTTTTTTTTACTGGCTTA